AGTTCAAGTTTATTTATATAGCGCCAAGTCATAACATACATTGTCTCAGGGCACTGTACATGAAAAACAATCTAAAGAAGAAACCAGCAGRYTGYGTTGAATCACTTCATCACAGTCTCCCATCCTGAGCAAACGGTGGAGAGGAAAAACTCCCTGCTAATCAGGAAGAAACCTCCAGCAGAACCAGGCTCAGGACAGGAGACCATCTGCCTCGACCGGCTGGTTGGAGGACAGGAAAGAGACACAGGTAAACACAGAAGAACTGGTCCAGGACTGGTCCAGGTGCACCTTCTTCTGGAAGAGACAAAGAAAAAACATGATAGAAATAATAACAATAAACATGTAGAGGAGAGAGACTAAAGACAACAGCAGAGTGAGGAAAGTAGACAGAGTGTCAGCCTCATGGACAGAAACTGGAAGTTGGTTCCACAAGAGAGGAGCTTGATAACTGGAAGCTCTGCCTCCCATTCTACTTTTAGAAACTCCAGGAACCACAAGTAAACCTGCAGTCTGAGAGCGAAGTGCTCTGCTAGGAAAGTATGGAACAATAAGATGTTTAATATGATGGAGCTTGGTTGTTAAGAGTTTTGTATGTTAGGAGTAATATTTTAAATTCTATTCTGAATTTGACAGGGAGCCAGTGGAGAGAAGCTAAAACTGGAGAAATATGATCTCTCCTTCCAACAGATTTCATTCAAGCGGTGAGGTAGTTCCATTTTTCTGAAAAAAAAAAAAAAAAAGTTAACAGGCAATATCAAAATAAGGTACAGCTGATGCTAATTTTAAAATGAAAGAACAGCATTTTCTGAAAATGCATTCAAGAAACTGAGGGCGAAATGAAAACAGAAACATCTTCAAGAATCAAAAAGTAGTTTGCTTTTCTTTGTTAAAAGTGTTCAGTTGGGTTTGTGTGCAACAGATACATTTGGCAATATGGGCCAAATGAACACAGATTGGACTGTAAAAGAAGTAGCAAATACACCGTTTATTCTGTTGTAAATTTTAAGGCAAATTAAGGAAATGCCAAAATTATAAAGAAGAAAGTGATATTTTTAAAAGTTGAGAGCCACACAGTTATCTCTCTTCATTAGTCATATGTTAGAAGTAACTGCTGTTTGTGTTGTGTTTCCTCCCCCTCCTTTGTGAGTCCACAGAGATGGGCTGTACTATGTGCTGCTGCTGCTGGCTTTTAGAGAAAAAAAAATGTTGAAGAAAGTCCTTGCTTGGGATGTAGGCWGCTCTTTGAATGTCACCAACACTGAGAGAGCCTCTCTCCAGGCTGTGCTCCGCATCTAGTCCCTTTGCCAAGCCTGATGTCAGCCAAACTGCTCCCAGGCCATTCATTGAAACCCTGGGCCTGAGCGCCCCCTGCTGGCTCTCTGCTCACACCGCACCCAATMAACTAAAACAAATAAATAAATAAACAAACAAACTGCAGCGTTCGTCCGACTCAGACAAGCCATTTTTTCTCCTCCGGATGTGATCCGTGTAAACAAACGTCCCCTTGATAATACTGCGAAGGTCTTGTTAGTGCTGCTGAAGAAGATGTGAAAGGGCTCAGAGAGGGTCCCCAAACATGAATAATTGAAAGACCTTGACTATGTTTGTCTTATAGTTCATGTGGACGAGAAAAAAGGAACTTTCTAAACAATCTAAACCCAACCACCTGCTCTTGACCTCTTTTTTAAAATTATTTCAAGCAGCCTCTGAAGTGGGGTTTATTTCCCACCATGCCCTTGTRTCACTGCTTCCTGCAAAGACGTCAACTCTTTACCCATTTGAGTATGATCCACATACGCCCTCTGATCCAAACCCCGCTGGATTTAGAGACAAGTTACCTCAGCCTCTCTGCTAAACAAACGGATGGCTCTGTCTGTTGTGGAAACCACAAGACTGAGGCCTTGAAAAGACTATTCATTAAGATTAAATAAGCAACCAGAATAAACAGATCAATTATGTGTCCTCAGCCAAAAACATTAGAAGACACAAACATTCCCACATAGCAGACAGGTGTGGGCCAGATCTGGTGTGAAGCCRGTGCTGCTGGCATGGCAAGTGGTCTGTCAGCTGGATGTAACCAGATCTGGCAATGATGGCACTATTTTTAAGATGGCATGCCACAAATGGCCCAGTTCTGGTTTGGTTTATGTGATGCTGGTCAATGCATGGACCACCTCCGGCAAGCCACATCTAGGCCACCAAAGGGCCATCTGTCTTTGCTGGGCCAGACAAATTTTGCTCTGAACAGACTGATGGCATGTAGGATTTTGTCAATTCTTTTAGCCGAAATTGAGATAATCATTAATGGCAATAATAAAAAACATGTCTAATCATTGCAGACAAAGATCTTGTTTTATTATTTTTATCTTATAAAAAGCTGTTTATATCTCCATGGTCACGGGTCGCCACACAGGCAGCCACCATCTTGCACCGCCATCTTGCACCGCCATCTTGTCTACGAAGGCTCATGAAGGACAAACTG